CTATAATGTTCAAATTGTTTGCATATAATACATAATGAAATTTTTTAGTCCTGTTGTATGGCATAATATTTTTTTAAAGCTCTTGGCTGTTTGGGGGTATCTGAAGCCACTGAAAGGGTGGAAATTGCCTTTAACCAGTCACGAGAATTATCTCAGGTCTACTTCACACCCCAAAGATTAAAAGATTTCATAAGAGTTTTTCATGCTGCAGCTGAAACCCTAAGACTCCAGTGGGAAATCCACGGCTACTCTTACCCCAGAGAACACGGAGCCCTCAGGCAAGCCAGCTTCCTTCATACAGATTACAAATGAGCAAAGTCAAAGAGTGACACTAACTTTGATCTGAGGACCAGGGACTATTTTTAATTTTTGAGAAAAGTATTTGGGAGTTTGTAGCATCCAACTATATTGAAAAAAGTCAAACTATAATATCAGAATTCTTTCCACTCAGCTCAAGTGAAATGTAACATGAATTACGAAATAAAGAAAGGTAATTATTATTTTACCTGAAGTGTGTTTAGGCAATTCATGTTCTTATAGTACAGTTTTATGATTATCTAAAGCCTCACTGAAATACCTTCTGTTATCCTTTGTGTCTGGATGACTCTTTCCTCCAAAGCCTCATGCAGTCATGGGGGCAGGTTCTAGAGTTTGTGACTGGCTCATGGTGCAATGCTGGGGTTATGGTTGTGAGTACTACATCAGACCTGGGGCAGGTATCCTGCATACAATATTAGGGCAGGACGGAGGCTTGTTCACTGCTCCTCCTTTTTGCTCTTGTTGCTATTGCTGTTTTCTGCCGCCATGAATGCTTACCCTCTGCCTTGCGCCACTCTGCCTTGGAGCCAGCCAACTATGGACTGAAACCTCCACGAACTGTGAGCTACGCCTTTATTTCTTAATTCTGGGCATCAGGCATTTTGTCTCAGCAAGGAGAGAAAAGTAACCCAGACATCTTCCTTGGTATTATTTCATTAATATCAATTATCCGTAAGACAAAAATTATTCTTATAATTCAATGTTCAGTTTAAATATTTCTTTTTCTGTGGAGACATTTATCTTCCCAAGGAAGTATAACTACTCTCTCTCTCTGTTTGTATGTCATATATCTTTGCACATGCACTTATTGTAGGACTTAAAATTCACTGTTTATATGTACAGTTTCATTTGAAGTTCCTTTTAAACTCACTTTATTCATGTCTTCATTGTCTCCAACTATCTGGTACAAACGGATGGTAAGTTATAGAATAAAGTAAATGAATAGATAGAGATCACAGCAACTGTTATACTTGAGAAAAAAAATTCTGTAATATTAATTTCTATCTTTTAATGAGAAGATTTAGGATATTCTACCTTTTAGAAAACTTTTCTTGTACTTTGATTTTTAAAAGAGCTAAGTAGTATTATATTATTTACATAAATGAATTATTATACCCCTGCAAGGTTATATATCATTACAGAAGAAAACCCTGTTTTAGTATCATAAGAAAGCGTGAAATTAAATGCTAAATTAAGATGTACATTTTACCAAGAAGAAAATATGAGAAACACCACAGCTTTAGAAAGCACTTCCTCTAAGAAATATACCAATTTCTTTTCATAGCTAAATTATGGCACATTCTAAAGAAAATTTTAAGATGACTTAGAAGTATCTTTTCATTCATTACTATAAGAATATTTGGAATCTACAGAAAAGCAGCTCTTTGAACAAACTCTAGTTGAGTTTTTTAAAAAGTCATTTCTCAAGAAAGAATGGTTTCACATTTTAATTAAAATGCACTCATAAATACCCATCCAAAAATCTCTTTGTAGCTTTTTGACTAAGATCAAGTGAAAAATCCACCAAACCCCCACAATAACCCAAAATAACCTAATTAAAGGTAATGCATTACTCTTCTCCACCTTTCTACCAATTTTGGTATTCTGCGACAGTGAGTTTCACTTTTCCATGACTGCTGCTACTGTACCACACCAACCCATTGCAACGCAATGAGCCCTCCTGGCTCAACACTTCACATTGCATGAAGTGAGCAACAAATGGGCTCTCCTTCTCCATTCAAGTATAAGACTAAAAGGAATGCAGAAAATAGGTGCCACTGCAACATGAGTACAAATTAGTATATTAAATATTAGTATCTTAGTATAAATTAGTATGAGATGTGTATGTTCTGAAAGATCTTAAAGGTAACATCTGCAAAATAGTCTAGATATATGACACAAGTGTAGCTGCTTGGCAGAGACGAAGGTGAAGTCTAAGCTGGTGCCTGGCTAACTTCATTTGAATGATAATGTGATATACATCTGTGATCAATGACAGTATCGTTAGGAAGATGATTGAGTTGCTTTCCACCTGTGTTCAGCGATGTCAGATATGTTGTATCCTTTTCCAAATGAAAGAGTTCTAAGCAATGGGCATAATCACTTGGCCATGGGCTGACAATATTCTCACAATGGCAGATCTACAGGGAAGCAAACATTGAGTTGAAGTTGCGTTATTACGCTGTATTAGATCTTTGTGTAAGGTTTTATTTAATTTTAAGGTTAAAATAGGACAGAAATTCTTTCCACGTATGAGAGAAACTTTAATTCGAGTCAAAAATAAACAAATAGAGCATCAGGAACAGTTGGGGAAAGGTCTAAAAACATAGATGAGAAAGTTTTATGCCTTAAAGCCGATGCTTCTGACTTCTAAGACTGAGAGGAAGAAGCGGTCACTTTTGTCTTTTAGTCTTCTCTTGGCCAGCGTTGGTCTCAGTCAAGTAGCAGAGAGGAATGGTGGTGAGTTAGTCCCCACTCTCCAACGCCATGGTGCCTGGTGGGGCTGCAAAGGAAGTACCTTATGGAAGCACCAAGTATGAGAGTAGAAAACTGGAGAACCAGTTTCTCATAGTGTATGCCAGTCCATTGCATACACTATGAGATTGATGGTCTAGTGGAAAACAATTAACTCTATGGGGGAAGTTTTCACTGTGGTTTTCCTATTAACCAATTGCATCATCAATCAAAGAAACTGGAACCAATCCCTTTTTCTTTCCAATTTTCTCAATTTAACAAATATTTATTAAATAGCTGTTATATCATGGCACCAGGCTTACAGGGTCGGGATCAGTGGTTCTGCACAGGTAGGAGTCCCTAATCATCTCAGCATCTGCTGCACCTCACTCCAGAACTAGAGAAGGGGATCCCTGGAGGTGGCTAAATCCTGGGTACTTCTTAAACTCATGCACACTTGAGAGGCAGCTTTCAGCTAGAGATAAAAAGATGAACGGACACAGTTTGTACTTGCAAAACATTCTAATCTAATTTCCTTTTCTTTGAAAAGGGCCTTTGGCCTAAGTGATTTTTATAAGTTTTCTGATATGCATTTTATCTTCTTTCTGAGCTAACTTTTTATAAGGTATTATCATTTAATAAATGCAATTATAGTTATGTGACCTGATTTGCTTATATAGACATTTAGTATGATTTGAATAAAACACATTTCTCAGCTTCATATACTTATTTAGAATAAAATAAGAAATAGTTAGCTGTCTTGGTATGTGCTTGTAATCTTGGCACTGAGGAGGCTGAAGCAGGAGATCACATATTTGAGGCCAGCCTGGGCTACATAGTGAGTTCAGCCCCGGGCTGGATTACAAGATAAGATTCTGTATTTTACAAGAGAAAAGAGAAGGAACAGGGTGTGGTGGGAGGAGATAGAAAGTGATAGAAAGGGGAAGGAGAGAGGGAGGAAGGGAACGAGAGAGAGGCAGGGAGGCAAGGAATGAACAAGCAGCCTTCAGGACTGTTACTATCTCTAATGATTAGCAACAGCATCCAAGAAGGTGCAGGCCTAGGAGCTGGGCAAGTATGTTCTGCTTCTAGCTAGCCCGTGATCTTGGCACACAACCTCCCCTAACTAGGCTTTCTCTTTTTTCAGATGAAAGGTTCAGTTATTCAGAGGGCAAAGTCTGTAAGGATCCCAGTGACCAAGTTCCCAGAGCTCTACGACTCTTAGAATCTAGGAAAGACACTTCGTAAGTCAATGCCTAGCCATGAGGCTACACCTAGGCCTGTGAAAAACTAACTTCAAATATATAAATGCAGCTCTCTAAAAAGTTACAAGCTCACAAAATCAATCCTCAGTCCCAGGAATTCTGCTACTAAATTGCTTCTTGCATTCACTTACCCTTCCTCCTTTCCCCTACAGCTGCCCTAGTGCACACGCTTTGACATGATTCGCGGGGAACAACTTGACAGCTTCCTGATCACCCTGATTCCTGTCTAGTTACACTTGACACAGCCCCCAGATCCAGCATGCTGAACATGGGTGTGATGCTGCTGCTCACCAGCTTGAAGGCCTCAGCCACCCACTGTGCCAAGAGCTACGGTCTAAACGGTCTGAGCCTGTGGAATCAGGTGTCCTCGTGGCCACAGAGCCATCCTGCCCCGTTCCTCACCGTGCCTCCGCCAGTCCACTGCTCCTTCCAAACAACCACACATGCTGGTCCCAAGTCTCCCCAACATGTGTTACAAACTTTTAATTTTCTCATGCTCTTCTTTCTTTGTAGAATTCCTTTCATTTCCTTGTCTGCCTAACAGGATTTGTGGCCCTATAAATATCTATTTTATGTTCATAATTGCTATATTTTTTCCACATTTTCCCTCTGGCAGATTTCATTTACCTTAGTACCTTTGAAGTCTGCAGTGGAGATTCACATATAGATGTTCAAAAACAGGTTTGAAGTATAAATGTGAGAAAGGAAAAACAGAAAATAACTGAAATGTATATTGGAATACCTTAGCATGTATCAATTCCGTTTTATTTAGACTTAAGTGAATTTTCTTTTCAGTACAGGTCATGGAAACTGATAAAAGGTTTGTGCGTAGTGTTTGATATGAACACTACAAAATCTGAGCTGTAAATTAGCCTTAAAAAGACAGGCATTGAGCCCTCACCTCTGGACGGCGGCTGTGTTAGGAGGGCAGCACGGCCAGGCTCCAAGGGAGGCTGCACCTACCTGTTAGGTCCGCGTTGGGCCACCACCCCAGGTCGCAGGCTTTGCAGGTGAACTCGTCCTGCACGTACTCGTTCTCTTTGCAGGCTGTGCAAATCCAGCAGCAGCTCACTTCTCCTTTCCGAATGACCTGTAACAGGGATATTTCGTACGTCTTAAAGATAATTTCCCCCAAAGCCTTCTATTTCGGATGAAGGCTTGTCATCCTGCTACGATAGAAACAGCAAAAACACAACCTTCAGAACTTTTCCATGCTGAAGAACCTTAAGGTGGCATATTGAAATATCCTTAATTATCCCACAGTTCACATGTAAATGTCAATTTATTCCATCCTCAATTTAAATGCTTTATTTCTTTAATAGAATGAATTCATTACATATTTTTACAGAATAAAGGCATGAGAGTTTAATTTTATCCTGGTTTATATGCATTATTGATTATTCCAAAGATGGTAAAAATACATTTTCTCTGAAAAAGCAATTTTTAACTCCAAAATTCTAGTATGCTAAAACATTAATTCATAAAACTGAAGAATTATAAATTTTTGTTATAATTCTGAAAGACAAAATTGTGGGTAATTTTACTCCAGAACAAATTTATATACATAAGGGCAGAGATGTGGCTAAAAAAGCACATACAGCTACTGACTGTCTGACTTATTCTGGTGAATTCAAATGATAGCATTATTGGTGAGAAGAAAAATGTTAGTCAAAAATTATCAGAGCATAGCTCATCAGACTAAGTGCCTGCTCAGGCAAGCACAGGGACCAGAGTTCAATCCCAGGTCGTGCATGCTGTGCCAGCCCCGTCCCCGGGGCACTCTGAGCCAGTGTCCGAGTCTGGGCATGGTGACTCACGCCTGTAATCTCAGCCTGGGAAGGCTGAAAACAGGAGGATCACTATGAGTTTGAAATGCATCATGAGACTCTGTACCAAATGCATAAATGAAAAGATTTTATATATATACATATATATATATATATATATATATATATATATATATATATACATATCAGAAAAACGCTTCTTATCTGAGCAGTTTAAATTTTCTCTCATTTTTCATTTGTTTGGAGAATACATTCATGTATTTATAGCAAAACAAAATATCAAAACACTGCTCATTACTTCACTTGTCAGTAGAAGTAAGTGCAAGGCAGATAGCACATAATCAAGTTTTGCTTTCATTTGCAGCCTAAAATTTCAGCCTTTTTAATTCTGTAATACATTTACATTGATTGGAATAATCAATGTGGCTAGATACAAATGAATCATCTCTGCCTTTTTTGCTATCTGTCCTTTTTGCTATCTGGTTTCTGTTCCTTTTGGTTGTTTTTGTTTTGCTTTGTCTTGATCCTTATATTCCCTGTTATTCTAAATATTAGCATGAGGGCCAGTGAGATAGCTCAGCGGACTAAGCCCCTGCTTAGGCAAGTGCAGGCGCCAGGCTTCGATTCCTGGCACCACATGCCGCACTGACCCCACCCCCAGGCACACTGAGCCAGCGTGGAGTCCGGGCATGGTGGCGCATGCCCATAAGCCCAGCGCTGGGGAGGCTAAAAACAGGAGAATCACTACGAGTTCAAGCTGCATAGTGAGACCCTGCACACACACACACACACACATACACACACACACACACACATGCACACACGCACACATACACACATATTTACACACACACAAAACCTTAACAGTAGGTGTTAGCTAAACCTATTTTGGTTTTAGTGGGTCCTTGAAGGTTGACAACACGAACCATTAACTGCCTGCAAGTCTATACTTACCACTTTACTCTTATACTATAAAAATATGGCGCAGTACATATAAGACACCTACAGTAACAATCTTCCTTTTCTCCTCCCATCCTGTAGGTAATGATTTAATACATTTTGCTTAAACATAGCATTTTACAGCATCTCTCATTCACAATTAAACAGTTATTTAAAAACAACTATTTAGATAAAGTTCTAGATACAATTTCTAACATTTTAGAAAATTTCTAAAATTTTAGATAAAATTTCTTGCTTTAGAAAATTAAGGCAAAACAAAGTCTTTTTTGAACAAATAAATACAATGAGAAAACATATTTTGCTGTAAGTATTAAAAAAATCTCTGGAAAGAGAATTTTTTTTGTCTTTTTGGGACAGGGTCTTGCTATGCATTTCAGACTGGCCTTGAGTTCACTTTGTAGCCCAAGCTGGTCTCAGACTCTCAGTGATCCTTGTGCCTCAGGGATCCTTGTGCCTCACTAATGCCAGGATTACAGGCCTGTGCCAACATGCCTACCACTAAGAGAAAAAAAAATTATATGAGAGAAAGATGTTTATACAAAGGAATTATGAATACTAAACATTGCAAATGTGTGGGTAATGGTAAACTATAACAATGCTTCTAGTAATTGTTCTTAACCTATGGTCATAAATCTACTCTACTTACCTGTAGATTAGTCTTTGGATACTCAAAGGAACTGTTATGCTGATTTCTGAGACCTACACATTATTTACTTATTTATTTTTCTGTATGGATCCTTCTTCTCCCTTCCTCTGTATTGGAAATTCTGGCTGCCTTTGCCTTCCCAAAGCCTGCTTCTGTCTACTTAAATTAGCAAGATGGATGAACTACTTGTATTCTCTCTAGTTGAAGAGTCAGGAAGATGTCTCCTGGCAAAAAGGTTTCGTGGTTCTGGGATTTCCCTCGTTTGTTTGCCTTCACTTCCTTGGCACTAAGGTTCTGTGCTATTTTCTGATGTCTGAATGCAGTTGAACCTACACTTCATCAACTTTTCTTATTATTTCCAGCAGAAGGCTAAACATGGGCCCTGTTACTCCCTTATATCTATGAGCAGAAGTCCTTCCCTAAGATAGTTAGTTACAAAATAATTTCATTTGCACAGTCAGAATTAGTCTGTAAATATGGCTATACTTTAAAAATTAAGAACTCTTGCCTTCATGAAATAGTTATTTTCCTGAAGAGCAAGTAGAAATTTGCATCACTATTTTAGAATTACAGAGAATGATAAAATGACAAAATTTTTCACCAAATGTGGAAGATGTCTCATTTTTTACTTTAGTTTCAAGTGGCTTTTGAAAATTGAACAATATTAAGCCTTTCTTGAAAAACAGTTCACAAGTATCTGCAAAATAATCACATAGGATCTATACTCCAAGTGATATTTTTGTAATTGATATGAGAAAAATCTTAATTAGTAAATCAGTTTGTTTTCTTTTTATTTAAATCATGATGACCAATACAGTAAGAGCCAACACAAATGTTGTCTGTCACTTCCACTTCCACTCTAACTTTTTCTGTCCCTGTAAAATTAGTCCTACTGTTTATACAAATTCAAGACAGTAGTGTTAAACAATTTTCTTGATTCAATTTGCCTTTCCTTTTATTGAGATCAAAGTGGCAATATCTATTTACATGGTAGATATTACCAGGAAATAGTGGTAAAACATATTTTTAGCTATTTTCTATTTTGACAGATGTGTTGCAATGGTTCCCTCCCTGCAAATTAAATGGAACGATAATGCTTTTCCAAGCTGATCTGGCTGATTTTACATTGTACACAGTTCACATTTGATCATGTGATTGAAGCAGTTTTTCTCCAAGAGGAACTGAATTGCGATATTGGCAGATGTTCTGAAAAGGAACATTACAGTGTGTCCACTTTCTCTTCTTAACTTTGCTTCTGGGAGCTGGGACTCCATACACATCCATTTCACATAGATATTTCTGTATAAACCACCAGGAAGCACTATTAGCAAACATCGGAATAGAATGCATCTACACACACGTATACATACATAGTCATATACACACGAGATCTACACTATGTGCTTCACAGTATCAGACTTATTCTCACCACGTGTTTTTATTATTAGGAAAGGTGGTGTGGTACAACTCTTTGATAATTTTGTTCAAGAATGGATATGCAATCTTCCCAATAGAACACATTTTTTTTTTTACAGACTAGTACTTGAGTTGGGCTAACTGAATGAGTATAATTACATAGAGTTCTTTCAAAAGCAGACAAATGTGCAGAAGATGGAAATAACAGTAAAAGAACAAAAGAAAGAACTATGTAGTATTCCACCTTATGAGGACAGTCTTAGGCTGCTAGGGATGACAAATGTTTTTGAATCTAAAACCCTAAACCCAGGTGGAGTCTTGTTGATGCATGAGTTAAATGTTTGCTTGTTTTTTAATCAATAGCCTATGTGAGAAGGCAACACTGTAAATGTGAGTGCTGTATAATCAATATATTCTTTTTTTGGCAGAACTGGCAATTGAACTCAGGCCCCTGTGCTTGCCAGGCAAGTGCTTATTCCACTGAGCCATCCCCCTGGCCCCATCAAATATATTCTTTAGAGAGGATTTTATTAGAAATTATCTTTCCTTAATTTTCAATTTCTTCTAAATAGTTTTTCTTACTTATGCTCAAGAAAATCCAGAAACCAACTCCTATAGTAGCATTACCAATAATGCTCCCGACAAACTTTGGGGTTACTTAGAGTTACAGTTGGAGGCAAACATAAATGGTTCCTTCACAGGTTCTGTTAGCTGCCTGATAAGAATGTCTAACATCAAAATGAACATGATCATGTGTCCTGTACTTTGATATTCAGCAATTCTGTTCTTGTGCTCTTTGCTCACTCACAAGAAATCAGAATGATATGAGAGGCTGAAGGTGATTGAAGGGGCTTTCTAGCCATGTAAAATAAGCTTTTACAAGGGCTACGATTCTGATACCTTTTGATAGTAAACATTAATTTCTCTAGTACAAAATGATACCAACAAGTAGAATAAGATCAGTCTTATCCATGAATGGAAAAGAAGAAATTCTGACGTCTACATTTTGAGAGATGTACATAACTGGGCTTTGTTCTACATATGTAAGCTATCGTTTTACTGTATTAGAAAAGAACATATGTAAATGAGAATAGATTTATGACATATGCCATGTTTGTCAGAAATCTGCATTGATTGGTTGAGTGAGGATCCAAGGAAATAGAAACCATGTTGCTTTTAGAACCCAGACTACCACCCAAAACCTGTTATGTAGAAGAAAATAATCTAAAGCTAAACACACAGGAAAAAGAAAACCAGGAAAGAGATAAGGAAGTAGAGATA